TTGGTCAAAGGATGCTTTGTCTGATGATAGGGACTACAGTCGTTTGTTGATACCGGGGGGAATGTTCTTTATGGTGATTGGCGGGTGGTTGCTCTCGCGGTGAACGTATTGCAGTGAAGTATTCGGCTTTGCAAATGGCTGATAAGTGCTTCGGTTAAGGTTAAATGTGACGTCTGGGAAGATGATTATTTGTTTGTTAGCTTCTATGATGATGTGTAGACAGTTATTATTAAAGATGCGACATATTTCTTTCTTGATATTCTCTGTGTCTCTAGGTGTGGCGTTAGTGATGGTTAGTCCGTCGTCTCGGTAAATTCCTACGTTTATTAAGATCCTGGAGTTGGGAGAGCAGAAAGCTTCCCACGAGTTCACATATTTCAGCGCTGTCGTAGCTTCCCATTGTTACGTCGAATGTTGTGTTGCCTTTCTTTTGCCAGGGTAGGTGTTTGTGGATTAAGATGGAGTTTTTTGTATGGATTATCATGTTTCTTTTGTCGGTGGTGATGTTGTCATAGTCGGAGGCAAAGTCGACTTCGACTCCGACTATGACACTATATATATATATGTTGCGATTTTTCACACAGTGCTCGATACGTGGAAGTAGAGAGCGATATATATTGAGTTAGGGAAAAAACAAAAAAAACAAAATATATGTATATATATATCAAAATGAAAGCAGATTTTATATCAATCTGAAACACCCGATAATGAGAATGAAAACAGACCTTATTGTGCACTTTGACAGTCTTAGCAATGGTCGTCCTATAAACAACAGTTCTCGGTGACATTTTCCAAAACCATCTTTGACAAAATATGAAGCTACATAACGTAAACATTTTAAAATGTGAAAAGAAAGCTACATTTTTCGTTCCCTAATAAGTCAATCCAATGTTAGCCTTCGTCAAAATGTCACGGAAACAGAAAACGTAACTCCTTTCACGAGACTTTCCACAAAAAACGCTTGTGAAATTGACAATCCCGATGTCCGGGCCAAAGTACCGATTCTGTTAATTTCTATCTCTGTTTTGTTTTGCTTCTTTCTTGTAAGTAAAAGTGAACTATGAAACCCTGTTGGTAGTCGAGGTAAATTTACTTTATGCAGAGAATATGCTGACGCATACAACTTGTTTCCAGAAAACCCCGCACTAAAGCAACCAAAAAGGTGTTTTCTACCTTTTTAGCATTTCCATGGCCATACTTGAAGCTTTGATATGCCATACCAAAGTCCGTCACTTTGCAAACATAGTTGTTATCGAGGAGAATGTTTCTAGCCGCCAGGTCACGATGGATGATCTATCAGAAGATAAGGAGCCAGAATGTAAAAGGTAGGAAACGATAGGTTTATATAGTACGCCGCTAAATCAAATGTTTGAGGATGTTCGAATGATAAAAGAGCTAAAACTAAGGCAGCCCTATGTAATGATTTAATGCTGATAAAACCAAGATTTCTACTTTCTTTATCAGAAAAAAAATGCATTTTTTGTAACAACGAAAATAACGATAACGATAACAATGATAACGATAATAGTAATAACTGTGCTAATAATTACAATAATTATGATAATGAAATGAAATTTGGAAATGGTAAAGCAACAGAGGACCCGTTGTATTCCAAAAAAGAAAAAGATCAGTAAGATGGTTTTCTCTTTACCTTTGTTTCCTTTTACAGATTTCTGGGCAGTTTCATTTTTCTCTTTGTTTAATTTTTTAAGTGTTGCAATAAGGTTTTTCTATATATATACGGCGCAGATTATTTACACTACACGCGAATAGCCAAAACAAACCATCAGCGCATTCTCGATCTTTGACGGGTGCATGGAATTTTTTTTTAGGCTTAATTTTATACCATTCCAGATAATCATAGCTGGGATCTTTTTAGGCTGAGCAACCGAATTATTATGAATCTTATTTTCATGTTTTTTGGCTCATTTTTTTTTTTTTTTTTGACATCTGCAGTGACCTGCTAATTTCAACAAAGAGGTTTATCTAATTCAAAGCTCTCCTAAATGTTGGCCAAGATCCGAGCTATTGAAAATTAAAAGTTTAAATCTCTGAAAGATTTTTCTGAGTTAGAGTTGACACATGACAAGTATTCCACTTACCCCTCGCGTTCCAAGGAACACCATGCCGGCGGCGATTTGTTTGGCAAACAACACGAGATCGTAGTTGGTCAAATCCTGAGCTCTTCCCTCACCAAGATAGTACCGATCCCTCACTCCTCGGCATTTTCTCAGGTAGCCAAGTAGATCACCACATGGCAAGTACTCCATGATGAGTATGGGGTGAGCTTGAGTGACGCAAAACAAAAGAAAAAGCAAATAAACCCCATGCCAAGGCTCCTTACTGTATATCAAAGATGAAATTGCTGATGGCTTTCTTCATAAAGCAGATTAGCTTAAAAGAAGGACTCATTCTTTTAGGATCTACCTTCATCAGAATTTACTTTCAAAAACTTACTATATGTTAAAGGGAGAAAGCCGGCTGGCCCCATTAACGAGATTTAAAGCTATCCGACCGGATCTTAATGAACTGTTGATGGATACATGCTCTCGAAGAAAAACAGTGTGGTTGCCACCAAGAAAATGACAAACTTGGCTCCATCAACATCCTAGTTACGGAACTCATGTTAAGAGGTCCTAAGAGGTTCATTCAGCATTTGTAGTATCGT